AAACGACGATCAAGATGACCTTCTGTCAATCGTTCCAGCATAACTCTTTGTAGAAACAACCTATGGACACGATTCAAGTTCGATATGAAATCTAACCTCAAGGGCTACAAATGATATGAAGTTACCTTTGCAAGAATCTGAGAGGAAGAAGGTGAAAACAGACGATGAAATCAGATGATCTCTGCTGCGATTTCAGAAAGACACCGTCCACCGTTTTGATCATATCTCTTTATTGGATGATTCAAATCACATTCGGTAAATTGAGGTGGATATAGGACTTCATTATCTACAACTGTCATGAAGGAATCATTGCCAAATTCGGAAGTTAAGTAGGCACGATCGTGCCCTCAAAGTCAGGCACGATCGTGTGTGAAGAGAAAGCATCGTGGAGCTACTGCCAGCCAGGCACGATCGTGCCTGGAGGGAGGCACGATCGTGCCTGACCAAAATGCGTTTTTTTTGCTCCGGAGGCACGATCGAAGGCACGATCGTGCCTGACATCGTGCCTGCCTCCGGAAATCCCAATTCAGCTCAAATTTCACCCGATTTTTTTTATTTAAACAGCCTGTAAACCCCCGATTTGAAGGGGGGAGCTTAGAGAGAGTGCCTAGCACGAATTTTAGAGGGATTTTCAGCCTTGTTCATCAATCTTTTGGTATTCTTTGTAAGTTCCATCTTTTTAGTTAATGACAATTAATTCTATTCTTCCCAATTCTATTGATTCTTCAATTATGAATTGTGAGTAGTTTAAATAGGGATTGGGATTGATGAAGGGGTTGATCATGATGTATGACTAGTTTTTTGATGGATTAATTGCATGAATGTCGTTTAATTTGTGTTTGAATAATTTAACTGATATCTTTTGTAACCTAGAACGCGTGCTAGAATTACAATTGCTTGTAGAATAAATTAAGAGAGATCTAGTTTATTCTAGGACACCTTCACACACACTTAATCGTTCGCTAAGAGATTAGTAGCGATTAAGGGGCCGTAAGCTCGCTCGTCTTGACAATAATTTAGGATTCTGTCGCATGAGAGATCAGCCTGGTCCCCTAATTTATTGTACTCTACGCCGCGAGAGCGGTAAGAACTTAGTAATGATTAGCTAGGCTCAATTGAATTAATTTCATGTAATTAGGCCTGATCTGCTAGAAATCTGGTTACCCCGGAATCAATCCCTGTTCCCTTCGTCATTAATTGGAGAGCACCCATTTATTTTAATCGTTTAGTTGCATTTTAATTTTTCATACCAATCATATCTCGCACAACGCATTTATTTTATTTATTTTTAATCGCTGAATTTAATTAATCTTTGATTCCCTTTTGTCCGTCCCTGTGGAGACGATACTCGTACTTACACCACTATATTACGATCTATTTTAAGTGCGAGAAAACACACATCAAATCCCTCCAGAGATTCGCCTACTGCATCCCCAAATATATCAAGCCAGCTCTCGGAGACGAGAATTCTATCGAGTTTTTCCTCAACCCAATTCTAAGTCCCTCTCCAACGTTCCCGGGTGAATTGATATCCAGAAAAAGAGAAATTTCACAACCCATTAGCCCAAACTGTTTCCCGAAATCCTCTTAACAGCCCAGGCGGATGATCAACACGACCTCTCTTTTCCGAGCCAAAGATCAGATCATTAAAGTCTCCCATGACAAGCCACGGCCTATCACTGCCCTGACTCAAAGATTTAAGAATATTCCAGGATTCCCTCCTTCTTGGGCGATCCGGGCAGCCATAGAAACCCGTGAACCGCCAATCAGGAGCTCCATCCTCAAGTTTAATACTCGTGTCAACAAAGTGATTTGAGGATCCTGCAATGTGAATACGCACACCTGAACTCCAAAGCAAGGCCAAACCACCACTGTGACCAACACTTGCAACCGCATAACAATGATCCATACCAACTTTGCGCATAAAACATTCAATTTTATTAGCATTAGAGAAAGTTTCCATAAGAAAAACCACATATGGCCTCTTTAAGTGAACCATGTCCACTAAAGCTTGAACTGTCGCTGGGTTGCCAAGCCCACGACAGTTCCAGCTAAGGCAACTCATTGCTCCCGGCGGGCCTGAGAACCAGAACCCGCCGCTAACTCGTTTTTTGAAATGACGACCTCCATATCCTGATCACCAGACTGCAATTTAATAGACCCCGTTCCCGAGGCCTTCCTCTTTTTTGTCAACATCCCCTCGGTCTGCTGGGATATCTCCACCTCCGGATCCTCGGCATAGACTCCAAGCTTCCCACCCGACCCAGATGATGGCTCCCCGTGCAAAAATTTGTCATCTCCATTAACCGAGCATTTACTACCTTTGCTCGCCACCCCCCTACCAGACCCAGCTCTCAGCCAGGAGCCAAACAATTTCTCTCTTCCACTTTCCGCAAACTGAAATCTCCAGGTGCACATGCGGTCAACGTGATTCATTAGTCCGCAAATAAAACAAAAATGTGGTAATCGTTCATACTTAATGCTCACCCTAATGGGTACCCCTCCACGCTTAAGTGTGACCTTCCGTTTGAGAGGATTGTTTACATCAAGTATGACACGAATACGTATAAATTCTTTCCATCCCCTGGTGAAGTTGCTCGCATCAGCGGAATCACAAAAGCCGACCTGATCCCCTATGATTTTACAAATATCTTCTGTAAACAGTTCATGGGGTAGATCAAAAGCCCTAATCCAAAAACCAACTTTATCCAGCACAACAGAATTCGGGTTTTCAAGAGCAGCCAATTTATGCATAATAAGTAAGGAATTTTCAAAGCACCACGAACCATCAACCCATACTCGCTCAAAATCGACGTGATCATAGAATTGATAGAGATACTTACGATCCTCCAGTTCACGAATGTAGACCCCCTTACTCGGCCTCCAAATGTCTGCCATCGTATCCCGGAAGAATGGAAATTTGATCGGTCTGTCCGTAAATAACCGACCCACCATGCACAATTGCGTTGCAGTTTGGGGCACGTTCGTGATGGCTCCATCAATATCGATCCCTTCGGTCTCATCCTAATCCTCCAAACACAATCGAGCATATAGTTCGTTGATGTCACTCGCCATAATGACGAAAAGCAGAGAGAACAATCGCAAGTCACGTGGCCGGCGATCAACGTCGGAGTATCAAAACCCTAGAAGCCTAGGGAGTTAGGTCCAGTTTTAAAAAACCCTTTTCATTAGATGGTGTTCTTATTTGAACCAAACTCTCTCTCTCTCTATATATATATATGTTAGACACGTCTTGCTTAATCAAACGGGTATTGAAGGCAAGTTTTGGAGGAGGTCAACCAACAGGGTAATCCACAAGCTTGCTACATATGCCCTGAGAAAGGAGTATGACAATCATATTTTTGTTTCTAGTCCCAATCGTATTTTTTGCCTTTTGGCTAATGCTTTTGTAAATTAAAATAGTTTGACGATTTTCTTTTAAAATAAAAAAGAAACTCTTCAAGTTAAGAGAGTTATTCAACTGCAGAATGGATGGACATAATGGAAGTGTTAAGGGAAATCTTGTGTTAGATGACATTAAATAATTTTATTTTCAAAATGACATTATTATTGTATAGTAAGGTAGTATCATTCGAATCATGCATCTCACCTAATGATGACCACAACTCTTTCTCTAAGGAATTTTGAAGGTTACTTGATCTAATTTTTAAACTATATTACAAGTCAATTTGTGCTTGATTTCATAGTATTTGATCCAATAGAAGTAACAGATGATCAGTTTTTTTCAAATAAGACTACATGTTATATACGGAGTATTACCAAAGTGTCTAGATTACTTTTATATTCCACATGGATATGATTAAGATTTTCAACCAAGGAGTTTAGTGATTGCCCCCTGTGAAGTTGGTGACCTTAAGTAAATATCACTGAGTTTACGCGTCCGTTTGGTAACAATAAAATTTGGTAACAATAAAATTGATTTAAGCAACTGATTCTGTTGAAATTTATGATGCTCTGGCTGATGTGACTGAATTGACTGTTTCTGTTTATTTGCGAAAACTTTCTATTCAAAATATGTTTTATTAATAAGATTAAAAATTTTATATAAAAATAGCTAAAATGATTTTCTACAGTAAGTTCAGCTAATACAGTCAGAAAAGTAAATTCATCCCTATTTTTTCTTATTATGATACAATTCAGCGCGAGAAATCAAAATTCACATCTTTAAGGAAAAATTGACTGATAAACCGAATATAACATCATAAAAAAGTATCACATCAATCCTTTCACAATTAAACCTAAAAAACCGAACTTATGAGCTTGGGTTCGCGAGACGTAATATATGGGGTGTTTGGATCCGCTTCTTAAGAGCCCGTTTGGAGAACTCTGTTTTCGGCTTATCAGGCTTATCAGCCAGCTTTTTCACCAAACACGTAACTTTTACTTTCGCGCGCTGAATTGTGTAATAAGCCGAAAAAGTAAGGTTGGAGTTACTTTTCTGGCTGTATTGGCAGAAGTTACTGTAGAGGACCATTTTAGCTATTTTTACATATAATTTTTTCTTTAATTTATTAATAAAATATATTTTTAAAATATTTTTTTCTTAAATCAGCAGAATCAGCCAAAACAGCCACTCCAGCCAGAATATCATAAATTTCAGCAGAATCAGCCAAAACAGCCGATTTTGGTGCTACCAAACGGGCTCTAAAATTGTTTCTTTCCTTTTGGGGAGCAGAAAGAGAAGTTGAAATATTTGAGTGGAAGAGTAGAAGTACTTTTGGTGCTCCAATTTATTATTAGGATGTTTTTACTTGAACAGTAATTTGCTGGTCTGGTCTGGTCTGATCTGAACTGTTCTGATCTCTTTGTATTTTTATAACTATCCAAGTCTGGTCTGGTCTGTTTTCATCTGGTCTGTTCTGATCTGATTTGGGATAAATTACGGTCCAATAAAAACATCTTTAGAATCGGTCTTTTTAAAAGTCAAAGAAGAGTAGCTTTGAAAACGGATTGTGATTCTAGTTTAAAAAGAAGAATAGCAAGTCGAGATACAATTGGGGTGAACGAAATACCCTTAATTTTCAGTCCTAATTTAACCATTTTACCCGGCCAAGCCCGGATTCGCCAAAGGTCCGAGAATAGCAAGACGCGTAACTTGCTTGTCTCGCCATATCCATACGCGAAGACGTGAACTGAACGCAAAACTGCAGAACGCCGTTGCCGTCGCAGATTCGTCTGATTCGTTTCAGATTCATCCACGAAGATCGGAAGACGGCGAGAGGACGACGTTACTCAGTCGGAACGCCGACCGCCTCTCCCGCCCAGATACCGACGCAGCGACGGCTGCGATCCTGGCAGCCTGCGACGCTTGGCCGCCTCCCTAGTTTTCTGATCGCTCTCTTGTGAGTCTTGCCTCCATTAAATTTCTCCGAAGGTACGACTTCGAGTTACTCTTTCCCTTTTCAAAATTGTCTGTCTACATATGAAATCGCTTCCAACCCTAGAACCTTTTTGCATCCAATGCGTCATTCTTTTTCGTTGCATATCAATTTCACATTCTTTGAGTATTTATTATGGAGTACTATTATAATTATCATTTTAGCGTTTCAACATAAAATGACCTCTTCTTATTTGGACACTCTTAAATTTGCAGTCTTTTTTAATTATAATCTCCACCGATCGAATTTCAATTAACCAGGGCTTCTAGATTCATTTTCTACGATATATTGAGAGACCTTTTTTGTTGACCCACAGAGTTCCGGAAAGATCATCAAAATGCCGGCTACAGCAGGGAGAGTTCGTATGCCTGCAAACAACAGGGTGCACAGTAGTGCTGCCCTGCAGACCCATGGTATCTGGCAAAGTGCTATTGGGTATGACCCTTATGCACCCAACAAGGAAGAATCCAAGAAGTCGGAACCAAAATCTGCAGACCCTGATAACCCCTACAACAACTTTCAGGGTTTGCTCGCTCTTGCTCGTATCACTGGCTCTAACGCTGATGAGGCTCGTGGGGCATGCACTAAATGTGGAAGAGTTGGGCACCTAACGTTTCAGTGTAGAAATTTCTTGAGTGTTAAGGAGGAGATCAGTAAAGCAAAGGATGATGATGGTGGGATTGAGGCAGCAATGTTGGAAAAGTGGAAGGGGAGTCATAATAGGGATAAGAAGTTTAATGCTGAGAGTGAGGAGAGTAGTGATGAAGAGGAGAGTGAGAGTTCTGATTCAGAGTATGATTCTGAGATTGAAAGGGCAATTGCCGGGCGGAATGGGAAGAATAGCTCGAAGAAGCTTAGTCATAAGGTCAAGAGATCTTCATCAGATCATAAAGAAAGCAGAAAGAGGGGAAGATCAAAGAGGAGAAGTGGTAAGAGGGGGAATGAAGATTCTGATGATGAAGCTAAGGACCGCAGGAATAAAAGGAAAGAGAAGAGGAGGAGAAGGGATGAGTCATCATCAGATGATTCTGATGAAGAACTGCATAGGAGGAAAAGGAAAGGTAGGAAGGAGAAGAGGAGAAGGAGAAGCCATAGACACTCAGATGATTCTGATGACTCGCCTGAAGATTCCTCACCTCCTCGGCATAAGCGAAGGGGCAGAAGGACTGCCACATCATCTGACTCTGCCTGTAGCTCTGATGAATTACGAGTTGGAAGGGACAAAAAACGGTCCGAAAAGAGGAGCAGAAAGCATCGCCATCATGGTGATGACTAACTTACCCATGTAAGTGATTATTTTATTACAGGGTCCTTTGATTCTTATTGAAACATATTGTTCCCCTTTACTTTAACTTTTTGTCTCAAAAGTTAGGCAAAAACTTAAAAATATTCTTTAGGTATATCATATACGATAGTATGTTTCTACTTATTCTGTTTATTTATGTCTACTGTATAAAGACTAAGAAACCTAACTATAAGTAACAAGTTAAGAAATCTAATCATATTTCCTTATCTGTTGCATTTCATAGAGTAGAGCCTACCACAAGACAATAACATCCTAGCAAACTTTTGCTTTCTGTACTATTTACAAATTCTGAACATGCTGTTAGTTTCTTTTTCATTTCTATTGTTTGTTGTTTGGCCATGGTTCTGCAGTAGACTGTTCTGTTCATTTGAAGAAAATGTTTTGGTTGAAGTGATGTCTGCTTTATTTGCTTGTTTTTTGTTGCAATTTATGCTTCATCGTATCAAACCAATTACGATAGTATCTTATACTCCTTTTCTAAGGCTAGTAAAATACATAGTATTATCTTTTGGCTGTTTTTTTAATGTGAAGAAGCAGTACTCTTGTAGAATTTCTTGTTCTTTATACCCAGCCTTTAAGGGATTATGTTTCATTTTTTCTCTAATCCCCACCTATCCATAATCCATATAGCTTGGTGTTTGTATGTACTTTGTAGTTTGTACTTTCCTCTTTATAGGATTTGTGTAAGTGTATGGTTTGGAATTGCGCAATGCAATACCACCTTGAGGCGCGCCTCACCAATTTCCTGGAGTATGGCGTAAGATTGTATTGCTTATTGTGGAAGGTGTTGTGGGAGTGGAATTCTGCTCATAGTCACATGGTTCGCGGAACGATTCGGTACGGGGATGTGGAACGGGAACGCGGTTTGCTAGATCTAGCGTATCCGATTCGGAAGGGATTAGGTTCATTCGGGTACGCGTTCGGTACGGTGTACCACATGTTCGGTAGCTGTATCTTATATTTTGGTACTAAAATAAAACTGAATTTCAGATTTCATAAGTCATAACATTAATCAAAAACAGATTTCATAATCATAAGTTATAACATTGAACAAAAAAAAGTAATATTCCAGAAATAAAAAACGAAACTGAAAACAGTACCACAATTACTAAATGCTGGAGTGAAGAGTTTGAAGTGAAAACTGAAAACATTAATAAGTTTGAAGTGAAAACTGAAAACATTACCAAACTAAAAACTGAAAACATTATTAAACGCTTAAGTGAAGAGTTAAGTGAAGACTGAAGTTAAGTGAAGAGTTTGTAGGTCGTAACTTTGATAATTGAAGTTTGTAGAAATCGAAGAGTTGTAGAAAGTTGAAACGATTCAAATGAACGTGTCTGCATAGTTTTCCGCACAGGTATCCGCACAGGAAAAAGGCCAAGTATGAACGCGTCTGGTTCGGAGATCGCGATTCAGCGCGTTCCGGATGTTGTTGCGGTCCACACCAGCCGCGTTTGGGAACAGAGTATGTAGCGATGGAGAACGACCTCAGAAGCGATTGAGATCGATTGGCGATGCGATTTCCCCTGCGATCCGACTTTCATTCGGAACGCTTTCGTTCCGCGTTTGGGTACGCGGCGTTCGGAACGTAGATCGCGATTGTCTGAGCGATTTATGTATCTATGATTCTGCTCACCCCTTCAAGGACAGCGAACATCACTCCCTTCTCTCGCTTGTTGCCATGTGGCATTGCATTTCATTTTTTTCTTTAAAACCATTATAACTTTTTTATTTATTATCCAATTTTCATTAAAAAAATCAGATTTAATAATTTGTTAAGATCTTTCCAATGGTATCAATATTGCATATAAAAATTGAAAAAAAAAATCTTTGTTTCTATATATTCATTTTAGCTGTTTTTTAATTTTTTCATATGCAATATTGGTACCATATGAAATTTCTTAAAAAATGAAAAATTGTGATATATTTCTATAAAAATTGGATCAAAATAGAAAAAGTTAAAACAATTGCCAAATAATAAAGAATTGCCTTGCCACATGGCATGCAATTAAGGTGGGGGGGGGGGGACATCACCCTCTTTTGAGAGGGTGAACAAATTTGGTCTCGTCTTATGGCGTACGAGTTATTGCGCAGAGGCGTGCACAATTCTATCTATGCCTTAAGGAGGTCTGAGACGTACGATATATGTGGTCATCTTTAATGTTTGTTTGGGCCCATTGGACTTGCTTTTTAATAATAAACCTATCAAGGCGCACGCAATATACCAGGCAGCGATTCAGTTACTTGCTTTCTTCCTCCTTCATCTGCCGCGAAAGGCATGGCAGCGATTCAGTCTCTTTGACGGTACTCAAATATCCGCTGCCTTCCTCTTCTAGTCTTCTCGAGGCAACTAAGGCGGTTTCAGGCTTCTCAATGCAGCTAAGGTTTCTTTAATTTTTACTAAAGATATAGTATGGCCCGTATTATATATATTCCCTCTAAATAATCTTGACTAATGATTTCTTTGCACGTTTTTAATGCATCAAAGATTTTGTTTTAGCTTACTCCACATATTTATTCTGTTTATATTTATGCATATATATATATATATATATATATATATATATATATATATACACACATATATAAACATATTTTTACACCTCAGACATACGCCTTATTGCGCAATGAGGCTTACGCAAATATGCAATCCTATAAAAACGCCACGACTATGCAATACGCAATTTCGAACCTTGACTGTAGTCCGAGTATTGGAATGACACATAGATTGTTGTTTATGTTTCTTTAGGCTGAATTACTTGTAAACAAATTTGTCAGGTTGATTTTTACTTGGGGTGGGAGTGAGGTCTTCTGTTCCTAAGAGTGCAGTGTAGGAAAATCTAGTAAACCGGACCTAAAAGGAAAGAATTAAATATGAATATGTTGTTAAGATGGATTGCAGTTGAAGTTGGAGAACAGGTTTTATGAAGTAGAAGTATCTCCCCTATATTCGCTCAACTATTTTGCTTTTAAAATTAATAAATAATGCTGGGATTGTTGAGTCAGTTTAGTAAGCACTGCCTGTGTGAAGTCGATTGTTTCATAGAAGTGTTAGTGGTTTGTTTTCCTTCATTATTACTACGCATTACTGTACATTTTTCTGTAGAAAATGTTGGTTAGACCTTTTTGTATAATTGATTCATTTTGTGAGCTCATGAAACTTTTTGTCTTGCAGGAAGATTGCAAGTGCGATGAGTCCAAAGAGGAGATCCAGAGCTTCAGCGACTAATATAATATTATGTTCCATGCTCTTGATTTGTGCTCTTCTATATGGACAATTTATGAGCTTCCATGAGTGTTGTTTACCTGTGGCTACTTCATATAATGTCGAGTTTGTTATTTGCTTATGTCCCCAATTGTGTTGGTGCGCCATGGCTACTGTGGGTTCGTACATAACGCCATGCTACTTCTTTTGTGAACTGTTGTAAACTTTGTTATTAGCATGTTTGTTTGTTATTCATTGCTCTAAGTACGCCCCAGTATCTTTCTCTTGTTATACTCCCTTTTATACTCCCTTTGTTCTTTAAAACTTTGTCAAATTTGATTGACACGATAAATAGTGAATTAAAAAAGATGTGATTGAGTTTTGTGCAAACGTGAGAAAAATATTTTGAAGGGAAAACTGTCAAATATGTTCACATACTTTTAACAAAAAGTCAATTGAGTCTGTATTTTTTTTAAATCAATCAAGTCCATGAACTATTAAAAATGATCAAGTAAGCTTTTTAATAGGTAATCAAATGGTTACCCGGTTATAAGGATGGACCGGGCCTGGGTTGACTGGCCTGTTGACCGGCCCGGGAGGACCCAAACCGGGTGTACCGGCCTGGTGGGGTGGGGGGGGGTTTAGGGCGGGCTCCGGGTGCAGAAAAATGGGGACTAGCCCAGCCGGTTCGGGCTATGGTTGGACTCGGGCTGGTTCGGGCTATGGCTAGACTCGGGCCTCGGGCCAGAAAATTGGGGCCCGAGCCCGAACCGCCGGTGGCCGGTTCCGGTTTCGGGCCAAACCGGTCCATTTTTTTTGGTTCTCCTATTTAACCCCCTCCCCCTCAACCCCAAACCACCCCAAACCACCTCAAATGGCCCAAAATACCTAATCCAACCCAAAACTTAAAAAAATTTCAAAAAAAAAGAAAAATTAAAATCCGGCCCGGACCGGGCCTGAACCGGCCGGGCCGGTTTGCCTAAAGCAGGGCCCGAGCCCGGACCGCCCATCACCCGGGCCGTGCCAAACCGAACCGCTGGACCCACCGGGCCCCGGGCCGGGCCGGTTCCGGGTCGGGCCGCCCGGCCCGAGTCCACCCTTAGTCCGGGCTTTATTTTTTTTGATTTTTTGGGTTTGGGCCTATGGTAGGTGGGCTGGGCGCTTTGGCGGGTTGGGGGGGTGGGGGTTGGAATAAATAAGAAAAGCTAATAAAAAGAAAAATAAAAGAACCTGCTCGACCCGGTCCCCGCCCGGTCCCGGTAGAATCCCGGGCCTTACCCCAACAATTTTGTCCCGATTCTTTGCGCAGAGAAGAAATGCGTAGAGAAGAGGCGCAGAGAAGATGATGCGCTGGGAAGAAGTGTACGGAGAAGAAACGGGAAAAGAAACGACAGATCTGGTTACTTTTATGTCCGGCCAAAACATGGACATAAAAGAAACGACAGATCTGGTTACTTAATTGTCATATTCTTGTTCACCATAACTCCCCTAGTTATATTTTTGCAATGAGGAAAGGGTCAATTAAGTACATCAACTTGTATGAGATGGAGTAAAAAGTACAATATATTGTATATGACATTTATAAGTACATAAACTCGATTATTTAGTGTTAATTGAGTACCTTTGTTAGATTAACACGTTAATATGACTGAGTTGGCTAACGAAATGCTGAGTAAGTAAGGGTAATGGACCAAGGTTATGGCGCCGACCTTTAGGAAGTCGACCGAAAAAGGAAAATCGATCTTCGAAGGTCGATCTGCGGGGGCGTCGACCAGTAGGGGTACATTGACCAAGGGGATTTCGATCTGTGGGGGACTGACGTCGACCAAAGAGAAGTCGATCAAGGGGTTGGGGACTGTCATCGACCTTCAAGAAGTCGACCTATTAGCATTCTGTTAGTCAACTCAGTCGTAATAACGTGTTAATCTAACAAGTGTACTCAATTGACACTAAAAAACCAATTTTTTTGTATTTAAAAATATCAGATGCAATATAGCGTACTCTTTATTTTATCTCATGCAACTTAATGTACTCAATTGACTCTTATCTCTTTTTGCAATTCTTTCAATTTTAATTCAAATTCATATGCACGAGCATTGTGGAAGAGAATTCTAATTCAAATTGATTACTGGTCAACGTCTCAGACAAAATATCACGGGTCAATACTGTTGTACAAGGTGTTGGTTGGCAGAAGCCGCATGATACAAATGAACATACCATCAGCCACCTGGACTGATGTTAATATGTTATCCTGGACAATAGCTTTCCTAATTAGATCAAATATACTCCCTAATTGAACTGGAAGTTCCCAATGCTTTTTTTGGTAGAAAGACAAAGGAATTAGAAATGATTTTGCACACTATTCTTTCATTTTCATTGATCTTTTTGATTGTTCTTTTCCTGCTAAGGAAAATCTTTTCAGAGAATAAGAGGCCACTTCTTCCGCCATCTCCAAAGAAGCTTCCAATCATAGGCCACCTTCACCACCTACTCATCGGAAATTCGCCGCCGCACCACGCCCTCCACCGCCTCTCCGGTCAATACGCCGGAGGAGGAGGTCTCATGTACCTCCAGCTCGGCTCTGTTCCGACGCTAGTGGTTTCCTCCGCCGACGCCGCCCGCGAGATCTTCAGAGACCACGACGTCGTTTTCTCCAGCCGCCCTCCAATCTACGGCGGAAGAAAAATGTCCTATAATTATGCCGACGTGTCACTTTCACCGTACGGAGAGTATTGGCGGCAGGTCCGGAAGGTTCTAGTGGTTCATCTGCTAAGCGCGAAGAGAGTGCAGGGGTTTGCGGCGGTCCGGGAGGCGGAGGTCGGCCGTATGATCGAACGGATCGTGGAATCATGTCAGGGAACGGCGGTGGCGGCGGTGGATTTGAGCGAGGCGGCGCTGTCGCTGTCGAACAACGTTGTCTGTCGGGTGGGATTCCAGAAGAAACGTGACGGCGGAGGAGAGGCGAGGTTTCACAGGATTCTTCACGAGACGCAACAGCTGTTGGGGGAACCGAATTTGGCGGATTTCTTCCCGGGGTTGAATTGGGTCAACAAGGTCAACGGGGTTGACTCCAGGATAGAGAAGAACTTCAAGGAGTTGGATAGCTTTTTTAATGAAGTGTTGGAGGAGCATTGTATTAAAAGGAGTGACGAAGAAGAAGATTTTGTTGACTCTCTGCTGCGAATTCAGAAGGAAGACTTTCAAACTCTCTCCACCGAAAGTATAAAAGCTCTTCTTGTAGTAAGTTTCTATTCTTTCATTTCAAACATGAATAGAGCAAATTATACTCGGTAGTATGTATCTCTCCTTAATTTTACAGTTTATATGAAAAAAGATAAGTAAAATTGATACTCCCTCCGTTTTGATTTGTTCAACGCAGTTTGACTTGTCAAGAATTAAGAAAAAGTTTAATGAAGGGGTAAATTACTGAAACGGGTAAATTTTACTGTTTTGACATTGTTTGGCACTGTTTGACACTGTTTGGCACTGTTTTGGTAAATATTTGTTTACCAAATAAGGAAATAAGGATGTGCGACATTCATTTTGAAACATCCAAAAAAGGAAATTGTATCAAACAAACTGAAAAGGAGGGAGTAGTTTATAAAAAATTACTTAGTTAAAGCAAAATGACTTACTACACTGTCTGCAGTTTTTCACTCGAATTTCACTATGAGTCATCCGGAAAGTGTCCCTGTACACTTTAGTACACGTGTAGGACTCCATACATCCGACTCCCTTATCCCATCATAGGTAATGATGATGATGACGACTTAGTTAAAGTGTAATAGAAAACGTCAAAGAAGTTTTCTAAGGAGAGTTCTAGCTTTTCTGGCATATCGCCTCTGCAGCAGGGGAGGGTGCCAGAGATTCGACGGAGAGAAGAGGCCTGGATGGGAGGTACTCCGTTGCGGCTTGACTAGCTTAGTCTGAAGACCAGAGGTGAAGAATGAAGTCCACTCGCCTGCCAGCCAGTTTAAAAAGATGGCCACTGGTGCTGCAACAGTTATGTAGGCTATAAACGAAATGAATCCGGCACGTAAGACAGATAACGCGGACGGTGGCGGAACCGCGGGAGAAATCTGGAGAAGCTTGCTTGGGTTTGCGGCTGCTGCGGTGTTTCTTTGAGCTGAGGTCCTTCTCTTTTATCTGCCGCTGTTTTTCCTTCTCGATACTGTTGCATAGCTGATTGTGGAAGGCCAAGTTGCTCTAAGCTCGTCTCAGTAGACTAGTAGTGTCAGTGACGACATACTCACGAATGATGTAGAAGAATGATGCATATATTTTGAATTGGAAGTTCCAAAGGTTGTCTTTTGGTTAGTTATTAGTGCTTATAAGTTTTTCATACAAGGGGTGCAGTTCTTTCGATTAGACTCCCTCCCAATAGCTGTAAGCTGTAATGTTTATTAAGAAGATTTTGTCATCCAGTTCAGATTTCAGACTTCCCCTTGAATGATAAAAAGACGATATCTATAAAGCTAGGGAAGAGGGTAGCATTGGGTCAAAGGAAAACAAGACGAAGATTTTAACTATTCCATACTAGTCAGGATACTATGGAGTCCATGAGCTGAAGGATTCCTAGTTAATTATATGGGTTCATGAAACCTACTCAAAAGATACAATTATATGGGTTCATGAAGCCTACTCACTTTAATTAAGTTGTTTACTGGAATTAATGCTATTAAGACCTCTCTTATTTGTAATTTAGGTGCTAATGTCTAGGCTATTCAGGTTTTGAACCCATTGTGTACCATCATTAAGGCGTACAATATTTAGAGAGTTTGAGGAAAAAGTAAAACTTGGATGCCTTTTATATGGAAAAAGTAATACTTTGATTCATGGTTTTAGAATCAGGATGACTACTTAAGACAGGTTGCTGCATTTGAACATTTACTAGCAGTGCAACTTTGATTACTCACAGTGAGAGGATGTTGAGCATCTTTACTTCCAATGCTTAGACATATATGTGACTTGTTGGGAGTTAAGAAGAGATTTTCTAATATCAAGAGTGCTGTGTTATGCTTTTAAAAAGAATATGGAGGTGCTACCGTGCTAGGCTACTAAGTAAGGCCATTATATTACTACTGTTTACTGTCTATTGTCTATACAATGCTGAAAGCCAAAAATGTCAAACAGTTTACTCTGATTAACTATGGCTGCTACACATATGTATACCTTTTGGGGGTATTAACCACGTGAACATGTATATACCTTTTTTGTCTTGCTTATAAAATCATCCTTCATTAGAAAATAAAGTTGTATTTTTCTCTTTACACCAAATTAAAATGAATGGAACAAAGTTGTGAGTGATTTACTTTTTCCTAGTATTTCATTCTTGTTTTTCTTTCTACATTGTTTCATAAATTAAATTTGGTGTTAAGAAAACAATGGAGTCCCAAACACAAAGAAGACAGTCACTTCTCACAACAACAAAAGTTGTTGTCATGCATCACATTCCTCCATGCATTATTATATTATCAATGAGTTAGTTAACTCGAATAATATGCTTATATATATTTGGGGGTGCGTGCAGGATGTATTTGTAGCAGGAAGCGATACGTCAGCCTCAACAATAGTGTGGACAATGGCGGAGCTCATAAAAAATCCTAGTATCATGAAAAAAGCTCAATCAGAAGTGAGACAACTACTCAAGGGAAAGAAAAAAGTCAGCGAGAGTGATCTTCCAAATTTGAAATACTTGAAATTGGTAGTAAAAGAGTCCTTGAGGTTCCACCCTCCAGTACCGCTGCTAGTACCCCGGGAAACCACAGACAAATGCACTGTCGGAGGATACGATATTCCGTCAAAGACACGAGTTTTCATCAATGCCATCTCCATCAGCAGGGACCAGAAGGCATGGGAAAATCCAATGGATTTCTGGCCCGAAAGATTCTTGGAAAGTGAGGTTGATTATAAAGGCATGCACTTCGAGTTTATACCGTTTGGAGCAGGGCGGAGGGGTTGTCCTGGTTTAAACTTCTCGGTCCCGTTGGTGGAGCTCACGCTTGCCAATCTTTTATATCGGTTTGACTGGCAGCTTCCAGACAGGATGAGTGTTGAGGAGGTTGATATGGATGAAACTTTTGGGATTACCGTGCATAAGAAAACTCCTCTTTGCTTGCTCGCTTCCATCATTTCATCTCCTGCGTGATGATAAATTATGAAAATGTTTGTTTGCTAGTTTTAGAAGTTTGACAAAAGACATACATATAGTTGTTGTTTGTACGCAGACAATGCCTACTAATGACTTATTGATTTGGACAGGATTTATTGGAATAATTGGAGAGCCCTGGACAGGGGCGGACCGTAGTACAGACCCAGGGGGCAACCGCCCCCCAACAAAAAAAATTCGAAAAATAAGTTACTAGAGTATCATTTAGTTAAGTAGTGTACGCATGCAAATTGCTAGTTAAGTAGTGTTTAATGTAATTTAGTTAAGTAGGGTACGCATGCAAATTGCTAGTAAAATGTGTTTAATCTATAGATCGTTGACTTATACTAGAGTATCATTTAGTTAAGTAGTGTACGCATGCAAATTGCTAGTTTCATGTTACTCCACTAGAAAGACAACAATAATTAGTGTATCATTTAGTTTCATTTTGTGCACTGTAAAAGTATACACTAGAAAGACTACAATGCTAACTGGATAATTAAGCTTTAAGCTTTATATTACGAGTATAAATTTATGCACTACGTATTTATATGTTTCAAAATATTGTTAATATATTTTAAAAGCTACTATCTCGGTGTCAAGTAAAGGATTTTCATTCACTATTCTCCAGTCAACACAATTATTCTTAATCTTTTTATATATTCACTTTTTTATGAAATTTGAGTTTTTTGTGACCGTATAAAACTTTAATGTAGTTCTCAAATATATAAATTTTATTTATTATATACAATCTTATTATTGACAGAGTGAATTTACTTTATGCTCACTCAAACATCATAAATCGCATGAAAAGATATTATCGGTTACAAAATATTAGGGGATTGTACGTACTAATCAAAACTTAAAAATAAATAGTAGGGGATTGTACGTACTAATAAAAACTTAAAAATGGATACCGTCACTACCAACAGGTGTAACATTTGACTTAATAATATATTTCTGTGTTGTTTTGCGTTTAAAGTGATTCATATCTTGTTATAAAGTTTTTTCGAGTTCTACAACTTAGGATTTTGGAACCAAGAGCCGTAGATCGTTGGAAACGAAACGTTAAAATACAGTTCGATTAAGTTCCTACACACGATTTATACGTTGTTATTGGTTCGGTTCTTATTTCTTGTTAACGTTTCGATTCCCAGGTTCTATAAAAATATGTCTAAGAAATCATTATTTAGAAATAATTTTTTTGAGTGTATAACCAATGTTCTAAAAGGCGTTAGACGCTAGTCGGGCGCCAGCCCAGCGCCTAGCGCCTAGACGGCTAGGCGGGCGCATAGTTGGGGACTAATCGGAGACAAATAAATTGCATTTTTATCTATATTTTTGCATCAATATGATAAGTAATATTGTAGTTTTGGGTGTAAAATACATATATACATATACATTAACAAACATGAACGATAGAATTATCACACTTAATCATACATAGTATATGATAACTAATCACTTAACTTCATTGTGTTATAAATATAAATAATGATGAAATTTAGGCATAGTATATGTAGAAACATATATAGTTTTATCTTAATTAACAACTTCATTTCTTTATATCCATGGTTAAAGCTAAAGTATGTATACCGCTTAGAAAATAAAATTAAAAAGTAAAGTAATGTTTGACGAATCTAGAGGACCTAGGCGGCCGATGAGGCGCTCTAGGCGGGCAACTAGGCACCATAGGCGGCTGACTAATTCACCTAGATGACAAACCAATTAGTCGGAGCACCTAGACGAAAATCGGAGCGCCCGATCACCGCCTAGCGCATAGGCGGGGACTAGTCGGACGCCTAGAACGATTTTTAGATCAGAGTGTATAACTAATAATAACGATGATGATGATGATGATAATAATAATAATAATAATAATAATAATAATAATAACAACAACATTGAAATTAACATTAAAAGTAGTAACAATAACAGTACCAAGACTAATATGATCGATGAAATTTAGTCTCAAAACAATTTAAATTTAATTGATGGAAACGGGTAAGCATGGATGCAGTTTTTTACAAATCATGTTTTATTCAATAACGAAATTCCATAATTATAAAAGTAACCCAAATAAATCCGTGTTGATTCCATACATTTTTCTTTACAATATTCAAGATGATTATAATTTGTAAGATTTATTGTAAATAATGTTTCTAGGATTTGAAATGTAATGATGTTTATATTGGTACTTGTGTATTAAATATATTCTTTACTTTCAGAGGAACTTGAATTGGATGTCTTATTCTACTATAATGACCAAACTTTTAATGTAAAAAATTGAAAGTGGATTGTGTTTTGAAATTTCAACGTTTTTGAGGTGTGATAATTTATTTAGGAAAAAATTATATTTAGGAACCGAAACAAGTAAGAATCGAACCGTTTATTAATGGTTCGCTTCAATTTGACCAAGGATTGAAACCCGCAGCAATTGTGTGAAAGTTACAGCTCCTGTGTGTTGGATGAGATCAATCTATGATGTGCACAAATACAAAGTCTATCACCACCATTGAATTTATTGAGCCACCATAACTTATAATCTCGCAAATGCCTTGTCGGGTCCAGACGTCAAAAACCCTTGTGGTCAGTGAAATGTGCTGTTAATAATGGAGTAAAAAAAATCTGATTTAAGTAAGAGTTTAATAATGAATAGAAATAAGATGTGGTGTGGTATAAATGTGGGTCATAATTACTCACTCGTCTAGGACTGGGGTATGATAGCCAGCCAACTATCAATCACTATGGACGACCCTTTAGCCAACTCACTCCCAAGCGGCGTACCTTCTTCCCCTGTCATTCTCAATCTTTCACTTTTAGCTTTCATCTCTCTTAGCTCCATTTTTAGCACGGATCAAAGGTAAAGTAGAGGAGCCAGCCATGGCAGCTCCTGTTCCCCTTTCCCATTTTGCCCCTCTCATTCTCCTCTGTTTCCTCTTCTTTTCCACCTGCCACCTCCCCACTCTTGCCACCAACATCACCACCCTCATCTCCTCCTACTCCAATCTCACAGACTTCACACACCAGCTCGCCGCCACCAGCATCGCCGCCGATCTCGCCAACCGCTCCTCCCTCACCATCCTCGCCGTCCCCAACGACTTCCTCCGCGTCTCCGCCGCCTCCAATATCAGCGACGCCCTTCGCTACCATGTCCTCCTCGAGTACATCTCCTGGGACGCTCTCAGGACCATACCGCCGAAGGGAAAAGTCGTCGCCACTCTGTTCCAGACCACCGGCCGTGCCCCCGGAATCTTAGGGGCAGTCAATATCACCTGGGATCCGGTAACCAATAAGAGTACCGTCCATTTAGAAAACTCCAACGCCATTATTGTAGGGAAAATCGCGGATGTTCCGTACACCATCTCCATCTTCTCGGTAAGTTCTCTTCTGGTACCTTCCGGAATAGATCTCATGGCATCGGAGACCCGGCCGTCTCCCGGGATCAGCATCACAAAAGCCCTCATCGACGGCCACGGATTCAACGTCGCCGCCTCGATGCTCACGGCTTCCGGCGTCGAAGAGGAATTCGAGAGAGATGAGAGCGGCGCCGGCCTCACGCTCTTCATCCCAACCGACGAAGCATTCGCGGATCTGCCGAATTCGGTGGGATTCCAATCGCTTCCGGCCGATCAAAAGGCGTCCGTCCTCAGATTCCACGTCCTCCACTCCTACTACCCGCTGGGTTCGCTGGAAAAAGTCGTGAACCCGATTCAGCCTACCCTAGAGACAGAGCAGAACTGGGCAGGGAGTTTCACCCTAAACATTTCCAAAATCAACGGATCGTTGACGATCGGCACCGGAAACGTGGTGGCGTCGGTGACTCAGACGGTGTTTGACCAAAATCCGGTGGCGATTTTCGGAATTTCGCAAGTATTGTTACCCGTAGAGATCTTCGGGAAGAACAGGCTTGTAGTGAATACATCTGGTAGTGGGGGTGTGCCTAATCGGCCGCCGGTCAGTTCTCTCTCGCCGGAAAATTCACCAGTCCTGAATTCGTCCTCTTCGCCGCCAGGATCTCTCCAAGACGTCGCATCCTCGGCGACCATTGGTATGGCAAGAAAATTCTCGATTGTTTGGTGGTGTATAGGGTTTCACCTACTGGTAATCAGTAATTATTACTGGAGTGTTAATTACAGTTTATGATTTTTTATTTTTTATTCTTGATTTATTTTGAAATGGAGAATGGAGATTGAAAGAAAAATGATCAATTTAAAGCGGTAATACTGGGAAGAAATATGCTTTTTGTGAGAAGATAGATTTTGGAGTGTTATTTTAGTGTTGGATTTTGATTGCTATTGTTAGTATCCTATCCTGTACAGATTGATACTTTATCATGAAACTCTATTCAAATGGAGTAAAAATATGAATAATTACAAGAGTTCGTGAGAAGTGGAGTTTTTGGTTTTGTTTAAATTGGATTTGGGTGATTTTTTTTTTTGAAATGTGATGCATTAAAGCGAAGCTTTAACTGTGTTCGTATGTTCTGAAGTACAGTAAATAGTTCCAAAAATCTTTTGCGTCTCTCTCAGTACGCAGTTGAGCAAAAATCTGCAGATTTTAAGGGGTTAGACAATGGATATCAGAGCATTTACATATACAACTTCAACTGGACAATTCATCTATTCTAGAGGAATACAGAGTATTTGTTTGCGTAAATGTATGAAAAAGAACCAAAAAGAGTGACTTGGAAACAAATAGTCCCTCTATGGTTCTATCCGAAAATGTATAGTAGTTTGAACATGCCACATTTCTTGCAAAAATAAGAAACATCACATTCGGTTTGGGACAATCCGAAAAGGATATTAAGACAATCAAGACGAGATAAAGGGAGTACGTGTTTTTGATAAATGATGATACGAGTACTCAATACTCCGTATTTTTTAGGAGTATATATATGTAAACCTTGAAGGGATTTCACAAGAAGAAACACATAAAAATGAGTAAAACATCAAAATTAACACGTCATTCAATAGCATTGGAATCCGCCAAATGGGTTGAAATGGTTGAAATCGATGAAATTTTGGTTGTAGCGGTTGAAACTCGGGGTCGTCTAATGAATTTGGAGGTCTCGATTTCCAAATGCAAAATTGAGATCTCATATATGAATAAAAATAAAACCACATATAATACGTAGTAATAAACTCACACAGTTCAAAAAAATTAATTGTGTTTAACTATTCATATAAAAAGACACGGAGTATTATTTAAAATAACTACATATTAGTATTATGCATTATAACTATATCATAATACTAATACTTGGTATTCAAAAAAATGGGGCCCCCAATTATGGTGGGTCCTGTTCCAGATGGCCCTTTGAACTTGTCAAAAAATGACCTTGTTGAAACAACTAAATTATTAAAAAAAATTAAATACGAGTATATTGTGTTAGTAAAATAAAGGAAAAATTAATTCTTATTGTAGAGGGGTTGAAGACTTGAATATATTGAAAAATGAAAAAAAATTGTATTAATAAAATAAAAGAAAAAAATTATATATATGAAAAAGTTAAAATGAAACCCAATTTTTTAGGTAGTATTGGATTTTGCACCCCATTTTGGAGAAACTTTGATTTTGCACCTTATTATGTACGGAGTATAACTTTGTTAAGAAAAATTCTGAATAAAGTACAATGTCAAATGATTTTTAAATAAAATGGTTTGTGAAGTCAATTTATTTTGTTAATGGATGCAAAGTTCAACATAAACAAAAAAGTGGGATGCGAAGGCAAATTTTGTCTAACAAAAAAATAAGGTTATTAAGCTGGCTCTAAAATAAATTGAAGAGTATATTGGACATTTTGGTTAGGGTAGAAGCGGGCCAATATGGTCCTAGACTCCTAGAGTAGTTGTTTCTCAATTAAGGATGACATAAGTGGGATTTGTGTAGGGATGGCAACGGGGCGGATCGGAGACGGTTTTGCCTATAACCGTACCCACCCCATTGGATAATTCCCCTGCCCCGTAACCGCCCCATTACCCAACGGGTAATTTTTACCCAAACCATAACCGCCCCAACGGGTAACGTGTATAACTGCGGGTAACCGCGGGTAACCGCGGGTAATCGCTTTATTAAATGAGTCATTGATATTTTAATATAAAAATAATATTTTAAGAGGCGAAAAATACAACACCTAGCCGACTCTAGACTCATATGCCACTTTAAAGTTTCGTACATCTACAAGACGAGAAATAAGACAACCTAAATTAATTTGAACCTAAAAATAGTTGATATGGAAAATAATTAATAACGAAAACATATGATTAATCAAACAAGACTATTAAGATCTATTATGAACTTTCATTCATACACTATAGTAAGTAAATCTATTATCCATGTATACACAATGAAAACAGGAAAAATATCATCTTTTAGTACTTCTGAGACAAATAATATATAAAAAATTAATTAAAATATAGCAAAAAATAAACGGGGAGGGTGCGGGGCGGGTAATGGGGCGGGCATGTATAAAACCGTAACCGTCCCGTTACACGTAAAAGCAAAACGGGTATTCCCCACCCCGTACCCGTTACCCGGTCAATGCGGTTTTCGCCTTTTTGACCGGGGTGATTCGGTGCGGGTATCCGTCGGATCGGTTACTATTGCCATCCCTAGATTTGTGCTTGGCCCAAGTCCCTTGCATTGGGCTCCAAGGGATTGCGTTAATATTTTTATTAGCATACTATATATTTCAATTCATTAAATATTTGTATTGTTAATTAACAACTTAAATCTAAAAATTATTTGATTTGATACCGCCCAAGGAAAGGGAGATGATAATGTCGAAAAACTCTCTCTCTAGGGTTACCGGCCGATAACCCTATGTCTTGGTTTGTCCGCATTCGTTTTTCGATGCGCGAGTTTATTGGTTATGATAGCGGCGAGCGGTCTTGGTTATTTAACCAGGCTGTTCGGACTGTAGCAGGCAGGACTTTTGGTCCATCGATCTCAGACTCCGGTAGAGGCTTCCATACCTCCATTGAAAACGTTGTTGATCGATACAAGCGGATGACGATCGAAGCCAACGAGAATGAGATAAACCTGGACGATGGGGAGGCTGAGGACGTGCCGGTGGAGGAAGTGGCGGTGGGCTTTCCGGTGCTCGGGCAAGTCTTGATTGATCGCAAGGTTAGGTTTGCAGAGTTTAAGGAGAAGCTGGTTACTCTCTGGAGGCCAGGAAAAGGTATGTCAATTAAGGAAATCGGAGATAGGAGGTATATGTTTTCTTTTAATCATCGCTTCGATATGAAACGTGTTTTGGATGGGGTTCCCTGGCAGTATGAACGTAGTTTGATCTTGCTTAAAGAAATTTTGCTTGACGATATACCACACAAAATCACTTTGAATGAGGCTGAATTTTGGGTGCAGATTCATAATGTTCCCTGTAGTTTGGTCAACCTAGGCACTGATAGACGTGTTGGGAATTTTTTAGGAGAGTTTTTCAAATATGATTATTATCAGAAAAAAGAAAAAATTGAGCCATACATGCGAGTTAGGGTTCTTATGAAGATGGATAAATTCTCTAAGGAAAGGGACAACCTTGAAAAAAGAGGACAAAAGTTTTTGGGTGGACTTTAAATATGAAAAACTGCCCACCTTTTGCTTTATCTGTGGGATGGTAGGTCACTCAGATGATTTCTGTCCTCTGAATTATGAAGAAGGTTTGGGTTTGGAAAAAAGATTGAGATCTCATCTTAGAGCAAGGAGCGGGGTGAAGACCAACCCGACAGGAGAGCAAGCTGGATTCCTGGAGGGCTCATCGAGCTCTGGCAAATCGGGAGTCGGCCCAGTGAAGGAGGCAATGACTGAATCTGCTCAAAGTTTCACGCAAGGAGGCAAGGTGCCTAAGGAAGAGGCCTCCAAAAGAAGGAAGATATGGCCACTGATGGGACAAAAAACGGGGAGGAGGCGGGCTTAGCTCCTTAAGCCCGCTGGATGCACTGGTTGAAGGTGTGAGGCCGAATGCTGGTGGCCTGATTCTCGTTGTCTGGCAGCATGAAGGATGCTTTTTATTCTGCTTTGTTTTCTGTTTAGTTAAATTTAGAGTTTGTTGTTGGTTTTTTTTTTGGTTTAATGTTCTGTTTTGTAAGACATTTGTTTTGAATGTGGGAGATGATAGGAACTTGGTAACCGAGTTAGGCTTATTGTTTTCCGGTTATGGATCAACGAATTATATTGCTACGACGATTAATTCCGAGTCTGGTTTGAGGGATGACAGTTATCAATTTTCGTTTTGTCAGTTGACCCATATTCTGAACTTTTATTGTTTATTTATATAAGCCGATTTCCTTAAAAAACAACAACTTAAATCTAAAAGAACTGAACATGTTGATATAGTGCACCATAAAATTGCCAATATGGACTTCAATAACGTTTTAATTTGAAGAAGCTTAATGAAAACAACAAAAATGAAAACAATAAAAAGAAGTATTTATCTATTTAAGGTGATAGTTCTCTCTAGGGCTTCGACTATGTCGGCCGCTGGAGCCTTTTTCCGATTTCAACTTTGTCGAAGATCGGCTTTGCTATCCCTTGGTCGCTGGTGCTCGACTGGAGTCCAGGTCAGACGCGGAGGGCGGAGATCGGTGGAGGAGGGCGGATTTGCTGTCATGGCTCGAGGAGATCGGTGTTGTGGTCAAGGTTCGAGGATGCGGCGTTGTTGTCGTTGTTGGAGAAGACCGGCGCCGCCTATCTGTTTACTCTGGTCGCACGGAGCAGGGATGAGTTTGGTTATGCAGGGACAGAGGATTGATGCATGGTCTTTGGTAGCCAAAGGTCATGGAGGATCAATTAGCATGGTACCGGTGGTACGACCTCCTCCTGAACCACCACCATGGGATGTACGAGGTGCTAGAGTTCGTGAAAGTTTTTCTTGTAGTTTTTATCGATTTGTTATTTGTTTTCTTGTGTCCTTTTTTGTTGTTGGTTTTGACAGTTTGTTTGAGTTTTTTGCTTCTCTTTATGTCTTTGGGTATGGTTGGATCTATGGGAACATGTTTGGCTGTGTCAACCCACTACATGGTTAGCGATTCGTGTTGCTCTTTTAGGGGTGACCGTCTCAAAGTCTCACCATAGGATTACAGTCGTAGTTGTTGGGGTTTCACTTGGTGTCAGTTTTATTTTCCCTTTATTTGATGTAATGATCCTGAATCTTTTGATATGAATAAAGACCTATTTTGATGATAAAAAATCTATTTAATGTATTTCATCCCTCATCACGTGACTCATATTTTGACACAAAAATGATATCCCACCTAGTGGTCAGCATATTCTGGTCTAGACTGGAAAATCGGACCGAAACAGACCAGACTCAGTACCGCTAATATACTAGTGTAATCTTCGATCCAAACTTTTTGGCGCTTCCTAATCATGTCCGGTCTGCTCTACACCGGAATATTTAATTTCGGACCAGTTGGACCGTAAT